AATTATTTTTCGCAAACGAGCAATAAACAAGCATTTTATTCTACATTATTCAATCAATAAATCTAACATAAAAATTAAAAAATTTTTACAAAACTGTTTAATATACTATTGAAAACTTTTAGAATAAATTGTCACTCTGAAGAGTGAAATCTCACTTTTAAAGATTGAAAATTGAGCTATTGCATCTTTTGCAAGACTGACTTGATTTTCATTTTTACAGTGAGATTCCATTTTAAAGAATTTAGAGAGTATAAATGACGTTGAAAATTGGAAAGATCGAAAGAATAAGGATTCTAATATTCAATTTCAAAAGGAAAACATGCTTACCGCATTATCAGTTGGGACTGCTATTATACCGAAAAAATTGTAGAGTAGTATAAAAAATGATGCAATTATAACCAATCGCATCATTGACGAAGAGGTAAAAAAAAGTGATAAGAAAAACCTTTATCGAGTTATCTTCAAAATGTATCCTTGATATAAAATGGAAATAGTAACAAAAAGAACATACTTTGGTTCACAAAACGCAGAAAGGTCGCTATTCAACGACTTCTTTTTTGTTAACTGACAAGGAAATAAGCAAGAAAGGGACGAAATATGTCGTAGTATTATCAGTTATGTAGCATTTCATGCGAAATTACATATAAACTACATAATTTTTGCATTTACGATATAGAATAATCGAAAATATAATAGCGCAAGAGGCGCGTATACAGGGTGTTTTATTTAATTGATATACTCCAAAATAATTAAAATGGCTAGATTTATAAAAAAATATTTAGGAAAAATGTATGATCTAAAAGGAGACAAATAATATGGTAAAATTAATTTTTGCAATACTCAATTTTTCAAAATCACATAAAAGTCATCGCCATTTAAAAAAATAGAATTGTGTTATTTTTTTACATGATGTGATTCTTCTATTTATTCAGCAGATAAAAATATTAGTGTTATAAAAAAATTAATAATTTACGAGATACATATTTAATATCTATTTTTTTATATATTTTAATGTAATATAATATAATATATTTTGACTAGAAAAAAAACTATTAATTTTTTATAATTGTACTTTTATATGCATACTTTTATATGCAGAATAACTAGAAGAATCTTTGTAAAAACAATTTCGAACAATAATTTTCGAATGTTGATTTTACTATTATTTACGTTTCTCTATAACTTTTCTGAACATTTTTTTTTTTTAATTTGATTGTTTTTATGTTATTTCAATATAATGGAACACCCTATATATACATATTATTGAAAAAACGTAGATCGTTTTGCAAAATTTACGTAATAAAGTCGTAAAAATATAAACATACCAACTGTATCCTTCATGTTTTATGTATATATTCGTATATGTAAAAGACTACACACTAAATGCACTTTGAAGCATTCAAAAAGTATTGCGCGTTTTACAAAGCTGTTATTGTTATAATTATGTAAAAAGCATGTCTGCACTATCAACTTGAAGATAAGAGAGCTGACTATTTTTTAAATAATAATGCAATTTATGATAATATACTGCATATATATTACATAATATATATTGATGACTACATTGAATTTTCTGTGGTGTAGTTAATTAACGAAGTTAGTTGAGGATTAATATATGATAATAACAATTTTAAGGGTGTTTACTGAAATCTTAAACATTCTTTGAGAATTTCTGGATTTTTTAGGTATTCATTTCAAAATTCCAGATAAGAAATTAATTTTTAACTCAACTTTCAAATAAGTTAGAGCACCGCAAATAAACTACATATTAAAAATTAATAGAAAACAAGAATTTTTGCGAGACTATATTTATCATTTTTTACAATTGTAGCTGCGAAATCTAATGTTTAATACTGTAAAAGAAAGACTCATTGCAATATATATGTAATGAGTTATTCTATTCTAGCTTATAACGGTCAAAGCTAGATCTTCTCAATGCCTAATAGCGTTTTCTCTTGGGATACACTGGGTGTAGCCTTCGTACCACACCAATTGCATGTAAGCACTACACTACATCAGAGTGGTGCACACTATGATGTATACTACATCATTGCGTTAAAATCCTATTTCCGCTTGATTTCCATTTTCAAATTTTAAATGTCACACTGGCTCTACACCGTCCCTTTGAGACGGTGTAGCAAAATCCCACTTCGTGCATGAAATTTCCACTACCCCGTAGCCACAGAAATACGATACACTGAATGACTTCGCTTACCAGCCATGGAAACACGGTACATTGTCTGAGTATAACACTAGTGAGCGATAGTGTAGCCAAGAAAAGACGATTATAAATAATTCACAGTGAATTATCTATATCCTATATATATATATTCTGCAATTAAATATGTATAATGTTATGTATATAATGTTAAACTGCAATTAAATTATTGTAATAATATCACAAGTTAAATTATAAATTGACAAGCAAATTCTCAATCTTCGATCCAATATCATATTACACATATAAGAATGTTAATATGCAAAAAATCTTAAATAAATTGATTATTGAGAAGAATATTACTAAAGCCTCGCTGGTCTAATGGTTTCTCATATAGAATACAGCACTCGTACAGAATACAAGAGATCCGGGTTCAAGTCCCGGCTGAGGTAATATTTTTCCCAATAAATTTATTTAAGGTTTTCAATATATTAATACCCTTATAATATGATATCGGATCGAAGATTACGAATTTGCTTGTTAATTTAATTTAACTTGTGATATTATTGCAGTAGTCTAATTATGTTTGATAAAGTCCGGAAAAATTTAAGCGCACAATTTGAATAACTACAAAAATATGATATATATGCATGTACGTATATAGAATATAGATAATTCACTGTAAATTATTTAAGCATTGAGAAGATCTAGCTTTAACCGTTATAGGCTTGAATGTGCTTATATTTAGTATGCTTATATTTAGTATTTAATTTGATGTCGGTCTTAATAAAATCTTATTATATTATTGTTTATTCTATTCTGTTGAGTATACTCAAAAAAAGTTTTTTTTACCACTTTTTTTACCTCTTCGTCAATGATGCGATTGGTTATAATTGCATCATTTTTTATACTACTCTACAATTTTTTCGGTACAATAGCGACCCCGAGTAATCATAATGTGATAAGCATATGTTTTCCTACTTTTGAAATTGAATATTAGAATCCTTATACTTTCGATTTTCCCGATTTTCAACGTCATTTATACTCTCCAAATTCTTTAAAATGGAATCTCATTGTAAAAATGAAAATTAAGCCAGTCTTGCAAAAGAAGTAATGGCTCAATTTTCAATCTTTAGAAGCGAGATTTCATTCTTCAGAGTGACAATTCACTCTATAAGTTTTTCATAGTAGATGCGTTAAATACAATTTAGTAAAAACTCTTTAATTTTTATGTTACACTTATTGATTAAATAATGTAGAATAAAATGCTTGCTTATTGCTCGTTTGTGCAAAATAATCACAGTCTATACATAGATTGCGTTACTTTATTTCTTTTTAACAATAAAAATAATATAAAACAGTGTTAGATCTCTTTGTCCAAATTTCTATCTATCAATGACTTCTACTAAATTTTATAGATTGCAGTGTTTTATTTCTTTCATCGAAAACAAAGATTTTAACAATAAAGATTTATGCAAGACAAAGGTACTAATTATATAAGTCAATTTAATTTTGCTTATTATAAGATTGACAATTACAGAACTTAATTTCTATTGAAATTACAATGAAATTAAAGTGTCAAATATGTCTGTAACTTGTTTTTGACATTCAAATTCATCTTCCTTTATACAGAAAGGATATTTTGATGCGACAGAAACACAATAATCTCCCACTATAGTATTATTATAGAATATATTGTTGTCCACGATAATGCAGTTGGTACTGTCAGAACAACCAGGTATGATACTGCAATAATAAATAATATGATAGTCGCAAAATAAACAGTCGAAGAGTACTTATACAAATAAATAATTTTAAGTAAAAATCAATTTATTTATTTATACATACCCAGGAATACCAATTCTACGGCTGAAAAAGAATAAATAATGTACATTTGATTATAATAATGTAGCTTTTGACTATTATTTAACATATTATATATCTTGTAATTGTTTTTAATTTGATATTATTAGAATATAATTTGATATTATAGGATTTAATTTGATATTATAGGAATTTTTAACCGAGAAAATTCACAAAAATTCAGTTGAAGGAGAGGATACAGTGTATTCTTATCACAGATTTTTATCTCCTTTAACATTATGTATCTACATTAAAAATAAGTTGTAACATGTCTAGCGTTTTATCAAATGGATTTTGTAAATAATATTTTTTAAGGTATGAAACCCTTCAATAATTATGTGGAAAATTGGATTTTAATTAAATGAATTTTAACACATAATTTAGCTTATCATGTGAACAAAAGATATCATAGACACAAGGATCAATAATAAATAGTTTTTGAGTTATAGTATGACAAATGTATAAAACACTTGTATTTATGCACAAAACATTTTTTATATTTATAGGTGTAGTAAAAAGAAATCCATTATTTTTCCAATAGATGGCTTTAGTAATCACG